CTAATATTTTAGTAGTTACTTTGTTAAAAGTAACTATGTAACTACAGTAGTTACCATTTACAAGTAACTACGTAACTATAGTAGTTACTTTTATTAGTAACTAAGTAACTATTGTAGTTACGTAGTTACTAGTAAAGTAAAGGTAAAATGCCACCCCTAATCATAACAGAAGATATGTAGAAAAATACTATGCAGAATATAAATGAGATGATATCTGGTGATTCGAACAGAATCTAACATGATGAAACAAAATTCCGAGTGGCATGCTTTGTCATCGACTTTTAATTAATATCAAGCTCAGAGACAATGCTATCAAAACTGTTTTCATGATGACTCGAAACTCTATAAATTATGACTATGCGTGTGTAGAATTCTTCTCGACAAACAACTGGTATATGGGTGTGGGTTCGAATAGGTGTCTACCAACACTCAGTCACACCCACACCCACACCACACCCTCAAGATAGTACATGTTTTACGAAGATTTTTTCCTATTATTGATTGATTTTTTCTAAATAATGCGAATGTCCTTTTGTATGATGAAAATAGCAGCACTTGAATCATTTGTTTCATAAATCTTCACAAATCATTTCAAAATCATCTTGAAGTTCTTTGAGATGAGGGTGTTCTGGTGATAATGTTTTTGATGCAATTTCAATGGCTTTGACCATATTATTAAATGCCTCTTCATTTCTACCAAGTTTATGCAATGTCAATGCAATATTACCATACGTAATTGAATACGAATGATGATTAGCTGGAAGACATTGGTTTTTAATATTAAGTGCTTTATTGAAATAATTTAATGCTTCTTCATAATCTTTTTGTTCATAGTAGCTACCACCCATATTGGAATACGTTATTGAAAATGATGGATGATTGGATGGAAGACTTTTCATTGCTGTGTTCAATGCCAGTTGATGATATTTCAGTGAATTTTCATGATCATCTTTTTTTCGGTATACTTCAGCAATATTATTATATGTACTGGCAATTTGCTGTTGATCCTGTGCTGATCTTTCTAAAGCAATTTTAAGTGATTTTTCGAGAAAAACTAACGCTTGATCAAGATTGCCTTGGTTTGAATGTACACTTCCAATATTATTATAGAGGTTAGCAAAAGTTTGATCAGTTGGTGGTAAATGTTTTTCATCAATTTCAAGTGATTTGTAATAATAATTTAATGCATTCTTAAAATCTCGTCTATGTTTATAAATACCAGCAAGATCATTATAAATAATTGCAAGAACATGAGGCATATCATCAAATAATGATAAATCACTTAGCATAATTTCAAAAAATCGTTCTTGTTCATCATATTTACCCATTAATCTTAACAATTTAGCTAAGTTATATTCACCCATTTTTGTGCCTCCAATTTGTTTCTTCATATGTTCGCGTAATGTTTTTAATTGAACATCTTCATCTCCACTCAGTTTAATACAAACTACCCATGTATTATCAGTATTTTTACTAACAGAAAGAATTCTAAACACTGAACCCATTGAAAATAAAATTTCATTTTCTATTTGAAAATGACTATGCAATGCTATATTGGCAAAATATGTAGCATCGTGTAAATTTAAGTCAATTATAATTTTAAATAAAACTCCTTGCATATCTGGATCGTTTGATGGAACAAGAAGGGACGGAACTTGTGGATCTAATGAAGTTGACCAGAAACTGTGGATCGATAAAAGACCACCAACATTTTGTCGTAGGTTTTCAAACTCATCATTAGACATTCCTTGGCCACGATAGACAGTAATTAATTGTGTATCAAAAGTCGATTGTGAATATAATTTTTTTATTTGAAGATGAACATCTTTGATAAAAAATCGTAGTTTATACAAAATTTCAGTATCTTGTATACGAAGGGCCTTGTTTAATATTCTATAAAGAAAACATTCACGAGTATACCACCATATAGCTTTATCAGATGTGTAATCACGTTGAAATTCATCTATTATCAATAAATCAGCATTACTACCATCGTATTGTTCACGAAAAAGCTCAAGCAATTTCATTTTTAAATCATCAAGCTAAAAAAAATGAAAGCTTTCAAATCAAAGAAGAAAAATTACTTGACACTGTAATTGAATGAATCTTACCGACAGCAAGTTAGTTCATACTTTTAAAATAAGTATAATTGATAAGATTTCATCGAACCGTGTGGATAATTTTTTTTGTAAAAAAATTGAGAAATAACAAAAGAATAAAACATTATTAGTGCAATTGCTGTAGAATTAATACTGTCACTAATTACAGAACGATTATTTTGTTTTTTTGTATTTGAGGACGTCATTTTCTGTCTTTTCTTACTTTTTTGTTCAGAAATGTGAAAACGGAAGGAATTCGTATGGCCGCGATCAACCGTACTGATACCCCGATATTCATTTTTTTAATGTCACTTAAACTATTTGTCAGAAAAATGTGATTTTTTACCAACTGTATCTCATATATAATGCTACTGATTTGCTACTATTTCGAGTATATATACTAATAAAAATGAGAATTCTTAAACACGTTCTTAGAAATATTCTATCAAACGCACATCGTATGGTACTTACTGACATCTCGTTTTCGGCATATATTTCATGTGCTACAATATTTTATTGACGCTATCTGAGCTTTGTGTTAAGGTTAGATTATCCTTGGTTTAACTATATTATCACATAAACAAATCACTTTTTTCTGACGAATTGTTGAAGTTACATAAACAAATGAATATCGGGGCATCAGTGCGGTTGATCGCGCCCATATATGTACAACCACACATCAATCAATCTACGTATGCATCACATGCGTAGGATTATAGGCAAATTCACGCTGAAAAAATTCACGTGAACGTGTTAGCCTTTCTTTACTAAGAACGCTCAACTCCATAATGATCTCGCGACTGATGACAGAAAAGAAAATGAAGGTTGTGAGTATTTCTAAAAACATTTACTTCCAGCTCTGTTGTTTCAATTTCAAGCAAAATTTCATTCAGCAATTGTGAATACATAAATGTTGCTTCTTGTTTATTATTTTCTTGTTCTGTTGTAAATGATGGCGCAATAACACTCATTGCAATAAGATCATTTGAACATAGACATGCGTCATGTTTCATTTGTGCACAAATAAGTGAAATGGTTTCATAAAGACCACAAACTTTATAATATTGTTGTGTCCTTTGGTCAGATAATTCGTTCTTCGAACGAAGAACATAAATATATTTTACTTGAGGTAATTGATTAAATAGTGGCACGAGTTCTTCACCTAACTCCTCTGAAATAATAAAGAATACTTTTTCCTGTCGAATGTCTGTTAAATAATTCACACATTCATCTGCATTGTCGAATGTTTGTACAGAGTTAACAATCTCACGTAATTGTGATACTGTTTTCAAACTGATCGTGTCAGAATCGAGCCATACAACAATAAAATTTTCAAGATACCGTCGCCCATTTTCGTTATTGTGGAATGCTGTTGTCTTTTTTATTGATGTCGATAATTCTGTTTCTGTCATTTTGTTTAATAATTAAAAAATAATGACAACTATAATTGAAAAGACGAAAATCGTCATTTGTGTCTTTGATTCTCTATTCATTTTGTAGAAAGCAAAAATCACATATGAAAACATTGAACAGATTAGAGAACGACCTTAAAAAAGGTCATTTTTGAAAAGATCATATCAATTAGAAAAGTTTTCTTTAGCTAATGCAGAAATTGCACCAGAAATAAATTTATCGCTTTCCTTCTGAATTTTTCGACAAACTAACTTGCATAGTATTCCTTTGAAAATACTCAATACTGGAAAGTTCATATAACAGCTAAGGTAGAATATCTTCAAACAGCTCTTGGTTGCATTGACTACTGCTGCTATTTTATTTAGAAGCATGGGAACATCGTGAACTCTCCCCAGGTGAATGTTTACTGCGACCGTAAACGGGCGTGCACGCTATAATTACGACCGTCTACGGGCCGCAAATCGCCCTTTTGGACGCGAATGGATTACCTGCCCTGTAATCCCAAGAAATGCCTTTTAAGCAATTTTTAACAAAAATTCTTTGACACCTATTTAAAGCATTAAATACATTCCTCACCATTAATAATCACGATTCCGCAAGCGGAATCACGTGGAAAGTCTTTCTAATGCCTTTCTCATATATTATCCATTCGTTTGGATTGAAAAACGACTAAGTTACGAAAAAAAGCCTTCTAACCCCTTCTACTGGATTAATTAGTTAATTAATAAGGGTTGTGGCTTATATGCAGAGTTATTATCTGTCGAGGTGGCTACGAGTCTGGAAGGAATTGGTAGAAGATGAGAATAAATGTTAGCAATAATTACTCACCCCTGTAATTGAGGTGAAATGGTGTTAGTTTTTGAATAAAGTCAGTGCTATATATATATATGGTGAACATGCGAAAGAAAACTGTGAATGCATAGTGACCAGAAATACTTCCGAACCCGTTTAAGGTAATCTTTTACGTTAGTGTTTGCAACGTTTTAAGGGTTATGTGGAGGTATCAGTTACACGCTTTTTAGGTGTGTCTTTGGGTAGCATTAGTAACCTTTTTGGGGGCTATGTCAGGGAACGCTTTGTAATCCGTTGGGAACTATGTGTGGATACAATTTATAACCTTTTGGGAGGCATCTGTGGGTACAATTTGTAACCTTTTGGGCATGGGAGCGGTGTGAGGGTGAATTGCTCTTCCTTTTCGACAGCCACACCTCCACTCACACCCGCAGCCTCCCTTAAGTTACTTTTATAAAAGAATGGCCACTTTAAGGTCTTTGTTTGATTATTCATCATGTCTATTGGCATTAATGTCAGTGGCAGCTTTAGGCGGGTTGAGGTGAGCAGAAGCGATCACAGCCCCCTTTGAGGAAAAATTTTCGATTTTTCTCCCAAAAAGGAATGAAAAACAAGCTTATACTACCTCAAATACATCTCAAGACGCGTTTTTTGCTCATGATCGCACCCCCCCCCTCCTTCGAGAAATCGCACCTCTCTTGCATAATCCTAGATACACCACTGATTAATGTGTTGTGTTTTTGATGTGGGATGGTGTGAATCTTTTTGGACTTTTAGTGATCTAGAATATCTATTTATGCCTCCGAGTGCTTTAAGCGTAGTGTATTGATCCGAATTTATGATTATGTTATATTTGGTGAGAAGTGGGTGGGCACTGCGTAGTGACATCGGGCGTGAATTATGAAAAATTGCCTTTTACTGGTATTAAATATGAATGCAAAATGTTATGATTATTGTTTTGTTAGTATTTCTGTTAAATAGATATATAAATCTTTAGAGGTCCTTCTCGGAAAAATCGCTCTTAAGCTCAGTCGCTAAAATGTTCAATAATCGAGTATTTCTTTTAATTGTATTCTTAAATAAATTTTTGACCATTTTTGCTGATTTCAATCGAAAATCTCCTTCATGTCAAGTGCAATTCCTTCTTTTTGAAAACCATCCAGCGTGCCTTAAAAATGATGCGAATAGATTTTCGGGTATAATTTTTATCGAAGTATGATTCGCCATGTATTTAAAGCTAAATTTAGAGTGGTATCGCGAGGAAGAATAGTTTGAATAGTAGTGCATTCGGTTACATATCACACTAATTTCTCAAGAGAGACTGTAACTTTAAAAGTTTCAACAATATTGCTTACACTGTAAAAAAAATAGGAGCCATACGGAACCTCAAGAAAACGTTCGGTAGATGGCAAAAAGCTTGGAAATGTGTTCAAAGTTTCAAAAAAAGAATAAAAAAATACACAAAACCTTTAAAGGATCTTACCATGTACCCAAGTGAAGATCCTTTTTTCTTCGAAAACTGTTTAGTTTCGTAGACCAAAAAATAGGATTTGTAGGAAAATACGAAACCTTTAGAGTTTCGTATTACATATAATAGTTTTACTGCAAGCCCAGTACGAAACCATGAGGTTTAATACGAAACTCTAAAGGTTCAGTGTATTTTTTTATTCTTTTTTTTGAAACTTTGAACACATTTCCAAGCTTTTTGTCATCTACCGAACCTTTTCTTGAGATTCCGTACAGCTCCTATTTTTTACAGTGTACAACGATTTGACGCAATTAGGGAGGTATATAACAGTCACCGACATGAAAAAATTTGGATGTCTGAGAAGTTTTTATAGATTCTTATACAGAGTAAAATTCTGCATATAACCCAAGTGGAAACAGAGTCAACCCAAGTCAAGAAGCGAATGCCAGAGGGATTACAAGCTGAACTGCAGTTTTTAGGCGCTATTCGGTGCCAAACCCCGATTGTTTGCCCAATGAACGACCTCGAAAGTATCACGATTCGATGCAAAGTAAAATTCTACATATTACCCAACTGGAAACACAGTTAATCCAAATCCAGAAGCAAATCTCAGCAGGAAAAGCTCGACTGCACTGCTAACTTTTCTAACTGTACCCTAAATTGGACTCGTATCTCCAATACCACATTGCAGAAGACCAGATCGCCGCCGATAACGGCCGTTTACGATGGACTACGATAAAAAACGATGGCAGTTTAGTTAGGAGTAGATGGTTAACGTATACGACATCTTGCGTTATTTGTCGAACTTCGTTTATAGTCGACGTATAGTTAGGACTGCCGTAAACGACGACAGTTTACGTCAATTGTTTATGATAGCCATAATAAGACGTAAAACGTCGTATACGCTAACTGTAAACAGCGAGCGTATACTTCGACCGTTTTTAGACGTAATTGACCACTGTACGGCCGTTTAAGGCAGGGCATGACTGGCCTGGGTCGCTGAGCATTACTTCAAAAGAGCTGGAAAATATAAAATTTGGATCATTCTACTATTTTGGTACAGCGATTAGGCAATCAAACGGAAAACTTTCAGGAACGAGTTAAATGGAAAGTTATGAAAGAATTCTTTGAAGCAAAGGATTTGGCAAACAAGAAATCTTATGCGTCTAACTATATTTAGGTCGTTAGTCGATGTTTTTGATAATCCTAATAGTGCAGCGTGGGTAAAAATATTTGTCCAGGAAGATAGTGCTATGGTTTCAAATAGAAACTATAAGAAATTTTATATCAAATTAAAGCGCGTGGAAAACGGGATCTATCGATGCAAAATAATAAAAGATATGGCGCTTTGAAATGTCGACCCAGGCGAGCAAAATAAAGGGTTGAGCAGGCAACATGCCTAGCTCATAGTGTTAGAATCGCTAGTCATGTCTAGGCCAGTCTGAAATCTCTGGAGACTATGTCTGGGCTAGTCTGAAACGTCGCATGAATCAGTCATGTCTAGTATACTGTAAATAAAATCACATGTTTTTACGACCAGACTAGTCCAAAATTTTTAAACTTAAAGATTGAAATAAGTGAAGACGTTCAACATGACTAGTCTTGTCTCAACGCTACTACTGTAGGCTTAGTCTAAAGCGTCTAGCGCAACTATCAGGACTAGTCACCTCTATTAATGACGTCCTGCACCTATGTCTGGGCTAATCAAGAATATGCGAAAACTAAATATGTCTACTCTACATTATCAGTTCAATAGGTTCAGACTAGTCAGTAAAATAGAAAAGCAAGAAAAAAAGAGACGAAAACTTGATTAAAGCATTCTATTCAACAGTACTTGAGACCTGGCATGCGTTATGGCGTCATATTTTGATAGAGCTCAAGACTTCCACCAGCAACAAGCATCTGAATAAACAACATGACCACGATTGGGTTAACATACTCTTAAATCTAACTGAAGAACGACTAGATTGAGTAGTCGGAATCAATTAGAAGATGTCATATGAGTAATCAGCTTGTGATGAAGTGTCTTCAACACCATTCATAAATAGTCTAAAGTTTCAAAATCCCCGTCTCGTTTTGAGCTAATCTATACGAACTATTAGTTTCGATTGGTCATATTAGAAAAAAAACGAACAGAACGTAATACAAGGAATTTTCAGTATTTTAATTATCTTTTAAAATAAATGATGAATAATGAGATGTATTTAGGGGAAAAGTAACTCGGTAAAATAATGTGCATCTGACTATTACTTGAACGAACTAACAAAGTATACATAGAAGCCTAAAGATACATAATAATAAATCAAATCATTTGTTTTTTCTTTACGACACTGGCAGGTACCAATTTTCACTTTTTAGAATAGTTAAGATGTGTCAAGTAACTAAATAATTTGTATGAATGATTTTTAAAACAAATTATTGCAATGGTATTTCATTTTAAACGTAAATTTTGGTAATTTTGATTGCAGAATTAAATAAATTGCAAGGTTTATAAGTAACAAGATTTTGTTTTCAAAAATTGAAAAATAAAACAAAATTCTGTTAGAATGTAAAAATACACATTTTATTCCCATGTTACTTTTAATTAATTTTTTCGTTTAAGAAGAATAGTTTTTCTTGAATATTAATTAATCTTAAGCGGTTTTCAGCTATGAACGACAATTTGTTATAGCAACACGTCTAGTCTATTTTGATAAAAGGACTAAACATAACAAACAGAAGGACGCCCGCCAATCGAGT